TATTTCTATCCTCAAGTGATTTTCTGACTAATTGCTCTTATTAGTAGAATCAAACCGCAAATATTAAGCCAAAAAGGAATAGAAAATCTTAAATTTTTGGGTACTATGCCGAGTTGATTTTTTGAGCATTGCATAACGCATAGTATTACAAAAGTGAAAATGCTGCAACCCCAGTTGATCTAATTGTGATTATAAATTGGTTGTAGATATGGAGTCATCCTGAAAAAGTAATTAGATAAATGATAATACTATAAATGATAAATCAATTAGATACATCACCTCCATCTAAAATGCTTAAATACCTTCTAAATTCTTGACAATCAAAGCCCAAAGATTTAAGAATCACCAGCCAATTTCGTCGGCGTTATAAATTATTCAGATTTGATCTGCTTTTCCGTTAGCTGGTTTGGGACATTTTTGATGATTTTTGCGAATGATCCCTTTTGTTCAGCAATTATAATGACCACATTTCTGAAGTTTTTTAAATTTTACACTTTGACCCTTTATTGTTTCTCATATTTTGCCGCTGGCAGACTTGTCTTTTTGAATAGAAATATAAGAAAAACTATTTTATTCGATTTTAATTGAGACTTTCCCATGTCGATTATTTAAACCGCACAGTTTATCGTAATTAGACAAGTAGAAGTAACCATGGCCCCTCCTTCTTTTAACAACTCATATGAGGCTGACTCGATTGGTTGCAAGGTTAAGGAATCTTCAAGCTATTCTGTCCCATGCTTACGATTAAAAGCCACTTCTTTTTCCACCGTCTAAACTTGCATGTCGCTTAACTATCTGTTCAAAACCTGGCTGTTTCATTTCATGACACTATATTCTATATTGATATATTCTGGACTGATTTTTACATCTCTTGAATATCTACAAGCGATATCCATCAATCACATAGTTGAATATTATAGAGAAAAAAAAACGCATCCCTGATGGATATTAGCTTTTATTTTGAAAGAATCTGTCAATTTCCAGTATAAACAGCTTTATGCCTATATATACTGGTAAAATGCTCTTATAAATCCTCTCTGGAAAGCCATACTTCAGAGTGCAATTTTATCGATTGAATCGAAAGCAGTAGCAAAATCAATAAAGCAAGTAGCTTGGGTTGCCGATTTCAAGCGATGTTTTAATATGTTTCTCCTTAACGTGAATATTTGGTCAGTACAACGCGATCTGAATCCAGCTTGATTAACGCGCATCCTGCTATACTGCCACAAATCTATTTACTGCCATATTTATTTATTGCCATAAGTCTATGAGAGGCGACAATCTTCTCAAAGATGTCTAATAGATTAATGCCTCGACAGTTGTCGCAGATTGTCCTACCTCTTCTTTTGAGGATAAAATTGGTTTGCTCCAGATATTTGGTATTATTTCTTTCTTCCATACCAGACAGTACATTTGTTGAAGATAGCAATGGATAGCAATGGACAATGCATTTAAAGAAGACCATTTTCCGAAGACCATTTTCTCCAGGAGTTTTATTGGCCTTAAACTTCTGGATAAGATTATTTTCTACTGGTAATTCACAGTTATAAACATATGGCTTGACGAGCGATTCAGCTATGTCTGGGGCAACAGATAGCGTATCGTGGTTAATTGGCCTCAAAGAATTCCATCGAATTAAGCAGTTTTTGAGATCTTTAGCAACCATATCATCATTATCTCTGACCATTTGTTTGACCTTTTCTTGAATTATTTGCTTTATAAGAAAGGCAATAGTTCCTTATTATCACCTATCTATATCATCTATCTACTGTAACCGCCACGTTGCAAATTTTCGGAACATCCATAGTTAGAATCTCCTTGTTAATTTCCGTATACTTTACCTAATTCGACTATTCTAAAAACTATTGTCAACATGAACAGAATATATATGTATGGGCCATGAATCTATGAATTTATTTATTTTTGTCATTATTCCCAGACATTTATTCATTATATATATTTTTTAAATTATCAATTTTCCTTGTCAATTATCAATTAATAATTTACTTTTAGTTAATAACTTAATCATTTAAACATTCAACTACGCGATGTCAAGTTCAAAATCCTTCCTATAATTGACTAAAGCATGTTTAATTTATCCGTTTAAGCATTCGTAATTTTGATAATCTCAGCTAATTTTTCATTATGTTACTCATATCATTAAATTTTTTGATGCAAAGTTCCAACATTTTTCTTGGTGCTTTCTTTTCTTTTGTATTATGTTAGTGATTAGTAATATTCATTATTATCGATTTCCATTCTATGCACAGATTAAATTTCCATATATTAATAATTCTATTGTTGATTGGTTATCATAATTATTTAGTTCCTTAGATGAATTAATTAATTATTTGTAAATTAATTGCTTTTTTATTCGAAAACAAGTTTACGAAAACTTTCTTCTTGTAATTTGATATGTGATTTCGTAAATGGTAATTTGATCACTGATCACTCTCTATAATTTATTTAATTAAAAAGCAAAAACAGCAAAATAATTCAGTAAAAAAATGAGTAAAACTTCTTGGTGGGAAATTATCAGATTATCTAATCAGTTTTGCAGCACAACAAGCATTAATAATCTAGGCTTTTAATCAAATATTGGAGTATTCAGGATTATTAAAGACGGCTTTTGGATTATAGAGAAATTCATATTCATGCAGAATATAGAATATATTTGAGTTTATTAGGTTTTTCGTTATTATTTCTTTTTTATAAAGATAACTCCAATTAACAATATTTTTATCACTAAATGACTCGTTGCCGATTGAAGGCTTCATTATATTAGTCAATGAAGCCAGCTAGTTAGCCAGAAATGGTGAATGGTGAATGAACTTTTTCTGAAAATGATCAGGCTAAAATATTTAAAAAATTCTGTTTTATTTTCAGTTCCTTAAAATTCTTTGTTACTATATTTTAATATGGCTTTCATTGCCCTAACTAAAATTCTTTCAGACATGTGTAAATCGAAATGAACATTGCAATTACTGGGCTCAAAATGGTGCTTGCAGTTCATGGCCATCTATGCGACAATTATGTCCTTTGGCTTGTGGATACTGTGTATTATCGAGAAAATGAAGAAGCAAACTTTGGCGAAAAAGCGACGGCTCTTTTTTTCTTCCTTTTTTTACTCCTTAAAACTATATAGTTCAATGATATTTGTAAAAACTGTTTTAGAGCTTGAAAAAGAAATTTAAAATAAAAATTTGCCGACTTGGCTCTCGAAATTCGTTAATAATAATAATAATTAGAAACCTTAGAGAAAACAATTTTACAACATAATATAATTACAATTCAACATAACACAATCAAATTATAAATTATAAATCAGCTAAATTAAAATTTTAATACATATTTTTACGGGTAATGCGCTGACGCGCTTATATTGCTAAGTGACTCTTTAATGAAAGGGTTTCATCTTAGCTACCAGCCAGTAACAATTGTCAAGCTAGAAGTGTTGTTTGAGGAGAAAATAATATTAAAACATTATGTTTCAGTCGATGTTTCAGTCGATGAAATGTTTCTTTCAGCATAATAAAAGAAATGCTCTACAAATAAGAAAGAAATAAAATAGGAAATTCCAACGGAAAACTTGTAAATTGGCGCGCCATTTATTAGATTCTTAGAAAAGTGCTTTTTTTGGGAAAAAGAATTTTGGAGGATATTTGTAGTACAACCAACTACCATGATGAATTAAAATAGTAGTGGCGAGGATTGAACGAAAATTTCTGGTTCAAAACATTTCAAGAAACAGTTAAAAAAATGATTCGGATTTAAATAAACAAAAAGTGTGCGATAACCATTATCATCATCATCATCATCGCCATCGGTGGTTGATTATCGAGTTTCGTAGGCGTAGACCGCAAACGTCAAAAATACAAGTTATCGGTGCGAAAGAGACGATAGTGAGCCGTGCAGATCGCATCGTATAAGAATTGCTGAATATGGGTGCTACAGTTATTGCTCTCAATCTTCGGGCTGCCATTTTTCACTTATTCTTAATTAATTATTGTTCTAGCAATATTATAATAAATTATAATCCACAGCCAAGGTATAGCGTCTTACGATTACAAACCGACAATGAAGGACAATTCGATGCAGTCAGGAGATTATTCAATCGGTCCACGGAGCTCAAGGTCAATTTTGATTTTAAGTCACTTATTTTTGTAAGTATTTATCGAAATTTCTTATTTTTTTAAATATTTTTATATATTTTGAACCTCTCGCGTCTCCTTTGTCTTTTAAAATTTCATTCAAACGCTCCTCCTAATCTTCTTATAAATTCAGAGAAATTTAAAAATAATCTGGATAAAGTTGAGAATCGCTCTTTTGCTTTTGTTGAAACAATGGTTATGGAATTGAACAAATGACCATAATATAAAAGTTTTATGGTCATTATTAATTTTTATTTTCCACTTTCGGCAGTCTATAAAATATCAGCCGCCAATTCACTTGTTCATTTCAGAATTCTTACTGAATTAGCATCATTAATTTTTACATTTCTGGTTAAACTATTAGATTATTAATAATGAAAGCTGATAAATGAAAGGCAGTGTTATTAATATACGCAGTTCACGTTATTTAAACAAAAACTGAAATAAATGAGAAATATAGCAAGCAAAATGAGCTGCTAACTGCTACAGACTTTACAATAAAAACGCTAATTTGTCCGAACTGTTTACTTTTATAACCAATTTCTTTTATTACCAATTTTTTACCATTTTTAGTTTATTTGGCTCCACTGACTAATGGAGACCACTTCGCTAAAATAGTGGATAGCCTTAACACTAATTAAATAAATTAATTTATGATATTATTTAAGCACATTATTAATCACTTGGAGACTAGAAATACAATTAGCTCACAAGCACCGTGAATTCAATTATTTTATTTTCTAGAAAATTTCTTAAGCTTTTATTTTAAATCATATCTTCGTCATACTCTTTCAACTTTTTCATATCTTCTTTCACCTGATTCCTAATGTTTTCTGAAGAAAAATACGAATGTCTCTTATGGCTTTGATGGTATTTTCAAGCAAATCGTTATTTTTGAACTATAAATTAATTGTATATTGGATGAATATTTAACATGGTTTTGACTAAAAAATCTTGTTCAAATCCGAGTTATGCAATCGCATTTCACAAATAAGCGAAATTAATGGTTCTATAAATTGCGAGAAAATATTAGTCTCAAATTTATTTATGAGAAATCTATAGGAAAAACCAGCTCAGTATGGTTTAAAGCCCCAAATTTTAGAGAATGTTCCGAAAAAACCATTTATATTTTAATTTTTTTGTTTTTTCTAGTGAAACATGTTTTAAAACTGTCCAGTTAGAGAAGGTCGATTCATTTTGCATGTATTCGAAGAAATTGAATTTTCAGCTAAGTCCAAACGATTTTTTCCTAAGACTTAAAAAGTAATTTATTTTTCAGATTAATTTTTGGAAAACGGCACGGAATATCAAAGACATAAGCGATGTAATGGTTCCGGATATATCGCTAATTGAAGTTATGCAGTTACTGTCTGATGGAAACGTAAACAGTACAGTCATTATTAATGATGTTGAGAAGTTCGCTATTCAATTTTCGATAAATCCAAAATTATCTATAATATTAGTTGTAACTGAATGCCTTATAATGAGCGAAGCCAGAATCCAACCATAAATGATGCATTGAGCTGTTAAAAGGAGTTTGATTTGGATGTATGTGTTGTCTTGCTGCAATTGATTCACCCAATTATTCAAAGAACTTAAATTTAAATTTTAATTTTGATTTGAACAATAAAGGAGTATAATATGAATAACAATATGTTTAAGAAAGAATTTACTGTTATCTGTTATCTGTTTTATTATCTATTTAAGAACTAACAGTTTATGAATTTTTTAAACTTCGAATTTACAAATTTTCTAGTCTTTTTCTAACAGCATTTTTTCTGATTTGGCTAATTCCACTAAGCTGATTCGCCTTTGCCGTCGAGTCCGAGTTCTACAGGTGAATCGCCAACAAAGGATTTCACTTTTAATGAGATTAATTCTTATCAAGGAACATGTTATACGATGGCTTAGCCGAAACAGCATGCAAATCGAGTTTTCTCTCCTTCTAAGGATTAGCAGAATTCCTCAAAAAAAATTGAATTGGGAATTTTGATGATGATGAAATTGAAATAATCTAATCTAAATAGTCTGAATCTAAAAAAAGTTCATTCGGTATGAGCTAGAACTGATTATTTACGAATATTTTTCATTTCAGGTTAATTATTGAACGTCAAAAAAATCATCTTCGTGGATATTGGCGACGTGTTAAAGATGATTCGTCGATACCATCAAATTATGATTTTCATGCATATGGTTCATATTCTCAAATGGTGAATTGGATGAAAACATTAGCAAAACGTTATTCATTTGTGCAGTTGATTTCGATTGGAAAAACACATGAAAATCGATCTATTATTGGACTTGAAGTACCTTAAGTTTATTTCAATAGCGCATTTATTATTATTCTGAAGTCGTTTTCATCCTATTAATCAGCAAAGCTAGCTGAACCAAGAACGCCCTTAGAAAAAAAAAAGAATGACAGCCTTAAATTAGAATAATTTTGCGAATTGTGGAATTTGAAATAACGAAGTGTGTTGATTTATTTACGTGGTTAAGTATATCTTGTCTTTATCCAGATGGATATGAATGATCCGACCAGCCCTATATATTTCCTTCTCCATTATGTTTCTTAAAGGATTTATCTGCACCATGCAATCACTTTCTATATGTAAATTGAGTAAGTGGTTAGCACTCACCATTTCTGGCGAGATTTTGGAAAAGGCCTGTGAGAATACCGCGGATTGCAAAGGAAATAAACTGATCGTTGAACAAATAAAGCCGGAATTTTCAATATAGATGCGGAATTTCGTTTTTATGGTGATTTCACGACGATTCCATAAAGGTTTCGTCAACCGGAAGAACGCATTTCTAGCTGTCGTGATTCGAGTTATAATATCATCTTTTGCCTGTCCATTTGGTATTAGAGTGGACCCAAGGTATTTGAAATGAAGCACTTCCTCAACCGGCAATGAATTTACAAAAAGAGGCATTTTATTAGCTTCTTGCACATAAGACGAAAAGACTTACGCTTTATTTACATTGATCCTAAGTCTGATTCTTGCTGCAGTTTCTGACACGTTATTTAGTATTACTTGCATTTCATTACAACTGTCAGCAAAAAAAGGACTACATCATCAGCGTATTCAAGATCTGTGATACGATGCTCTGGACTAATTCGGACACCTCTTGAGTGCCGACAAGCAGTGTCCATTATCCAGTCTATCGCATAGTTGAATATTGTGGGAGAAAGGATGCAGCACAGACACACACGGA